CAAATTTTTTGTACTTAAATCAACAAATTATTTGTCGTTTAAAAGCATAATACAAATGCTAATGTCATTGTTAGTTTATCATGACTTTATTTTTTTTGCCTCCTTCAGTAATTTTTTATGATCATTAAAACACAATTTTACGTTAAAAAAACTATAAAAGGTAATAGGAAAGAAATTACTTTTCTTGACATTTCAAAAATTTGAATTTTAATTTAGATATAAATTATATAATATTATACGTATGGAAAGAAATTACTTTTCATAATTTCACAAAATTTAAAATTTAGTTAAAAAAGAGTGCCAAATAAATTTTATCAAATTTTGGGTCTGACTCATTTAATCATTTTAACTCATTATCATAACATTGCCTTATAAAAAAAAATAACATGTCCTATAAATCACCAACCTTTTTTCATGTTTTTCTAAAATAATTTTTTATGTTGAAACAACATTTTAATTTAATTCAAATAAAAACTAACTTACACTAAACAAGTTCTTATTTCTTTTAATAATTTAGATGGATACAAAAAATGTAAATAAATAAATATTTTAAAAATCAAAGCACACCCCGTAAAAATGGAAAAAAAGAAAAAGACAAAGATGCGGAATTCGAGCAAAGTTTTTTTTTTTCCTTTTTTTTTTACCGAAGAAAATAGAATTCGAGCAAAGTAAATTTTTAGTAGTAGTAATTTTTTTTGCGCTTAATAGACTGGAAATTTACGGTAACAATTAGAAAAAAGGAAAAAAAAAAAAAGTACGCAGTAATTTACGGAGTTGCAGAAAAAAAATAGTATAAATTCAGAAAATAGAACTGCAAACCTTAGTCGCTCGCAGTACCCTTCCGTACCTCTCTCTCTCTCTCTCAAAACCTCTCATGCATGGCGATTTCCGGCTTCAATTCAGGCTAATTAAGGCACTATTTTCTTCATTGCCAAGTAACTACTGCGATACGATGTGATCTCGTCGACTCTCCTAGCGTTCCGCTACTCGATTTCCTAATCGGGTTTTTGTTGAGTCTGAAAGTTGAGGGATTTTTCTGTTTACGATTTCTAGGGTTAGGGTTTTGGAGGCATGAAGGGTACCTTGGATCGAACCAAGGTGGTGCTCCGCCACTTGCCACCGACAATTTCGGAGGCCACGCTCATGGAGCAGGTAGATGGTGCATTCGCTGGGCGTTACAACTGGGTCTCGTTTCGTCCTGGGAAGACCAGGTTGGGATTTTTAGCACTTGGTTGGAATTCGATTGATTTTCTTAAGTTTAGTCTTTTGCATATATTTCTTCTATTTTTTGGGTTTATTAATGTTTGCTTCTAATCGGATTTGTGGGTTCTTTTTATTTATGCTTTTGCTCCATTGCTGCACTACTTTTGGGGTTTCCTGTTGCAATTTACTGTTCTACTTTTTTTTTTTTTTTGAGTTCATTGGTGGTTACACAAAATTGAGCTTCTGTTTTTAGTTAACATTTCTTTCTGTTTCAGATCATTTGTTTGGTAAAATGCTGCTGTATTTTCTGTTCTTTTTTTTTAATGGATTTGGGTTCGTGTGGGGTGTGTATCAATAACCGGGACAGTTTGGTTTTTGGTGATGCCAGCTCCTCAAAATCAAATGTTTATCAGATTGTGGAGCAGGTTTGATAACAGATTATATAGGCTAGTCCAATTTGGATTCGTTATAAATCATTTAGATGCTAGTGTGGAATCTAATGCGTATCCATGTATTGGTTTTGGACACATTATAATTTTTTATTTTTACTTCAATTGCAGGAGGCTTAGTGCTTACAGACTCCTGGGTCAATTTTTAATGCATTTTATTCTTATATTTTAACCATCCAACGGTTTTGTAGCCAGAAGCATCAGTCCTATTCAAGAGCATACATAGACTTCAAGATGCCAGAGGATGTGCTGGAATTTGCTGAAGTTTTTAATGGGCATGTATTTGTTAATGAGAAAGGTGATCCTTTTTATATTAGTTATATGTGATGATTATCGGCGTTTGATTTCAAAGTGAAGTATAACCTTTTCCTTTTCTTTTTCCTTTTCCTTTTCCAGGCACTCAGTTTAAAACCATTGTTGAGTATGCACCTTCACAACTTGTTCCAAAGCAATGGTCTAAAAGGGATGCTCGTGAAGGGACTATATTCAAAGGTAACTAAATTTCATCCTTGGAGTAAAGTTCAAAAACGATATAGACTCGCTGTGGATTTATATCTATCTATATTTTTCCTGTTTGTAAATTCTAGTATTTCTTAATGATCACCTAGATCCTCAGTATTTGGAGTTCCTTGAATTTCTTGCGAAGCCAGTAGAGAATCTTCCTAGTGCAGAGATACAATTGGAAAGAAAGGAGGCAGAACGAGCTGGTAAGTTCCAGGGATTTTAGACATTTGTCTTTGTGAATGATTGTGGTAGATAATGGGAAACTTAGTTGCTTACTCTCTATTCAGAGTGAGGATTCAGTTTGTTTTTTATTGATATTTTTTCTACCATGCCATAATCACTTTGTAGGTTTAGTGAAGGAAGTGCCAATAGTTACTCCTCTAATGGATTTTGTGCGACAGAAAAGAGCTGCTAAGGGTGTATCACGGGTTACTTTTCCTCTCTCTCTCTCTCCTTATCCTTTATCTTTCCAAATTTAAACATGATATTGTCATGCTTGTTTGTCTTGTTATTTATCATGGGTAATGGTTTCTGTTACCAGCATGACACATCTTGATTGTAATTTCATATTACATGACAGGGGTCATCTTCTAATGGAAAACTGAGCAGACTAGCTAGTGGATCATCCAGTGGAAGTCCAAGTTCAGCCTCATCCAGGAGAGGCTCTGAAAAGAGAAGGGGTTCTACCATGAAGGTATGCATATACTTGGTTAATAAAATCAGACTGTTTTATGCTGTTTGTGATGAAATGTTTGCTGATCATTAATACTTTCTCCTTTCTGATGGGCAGTATGTACTAAGAAACTCCTTGAAAAATGCAAGTAGCAAAGACAAGTCAACTCACATTTTGGTTCGCAAACGGGATGAACAGAAGCTTTCAGATAAACATGTTACTCTTGCTTTGTCTCCTGGAATTGAAGGACTGGAAGAGGAAAGAGGTATGGTGATCTTCAGTATTATTACTATTATTATTATTATTATTGTTGGCCTCTGATCTTCATTGTAATTGTATTGAATATCAAGATATGTGCATGGAAGATATAACATGTTTCCCTTTTATAAATTGCTAGTGGATGGTGATTGAAGTTTGGATAAGTGACTTCTTCTATTTCTTTCTCTCTTTTTATTTTGGGATTCTTATTGCTGTATTGCTCGTAGTTTCTTGTTATGCATTAGACCTGTCATGAAGTTTAGTTGGGTTCTAGTTTGCAAGTGCCCATTGTGTGTATTAGGCCAGACAACTTCTAAAATCTTCAATTTTTCAGGTGTTTCAGGAATCAATAATACTGGTAAGGTGAAAGTCCTGCTTCTAAAAGGCAAGGAGAGAGAAATTTCTAATGTGAGCTTCTTCCTATTGTTCCCATCTTCTGGTGGCTTTATTATGGATCTTCTCTTTCCAGAAGAGTACCCAGGATAGTATTATAAGTTAGATATCTTAGTGGTCTAATTCAATCCAGAAGAGTACCCAGGATAGTATTATAAGTTAGATATCTTAGTGGTCTAATTCAATCCAGAAGAGTACCCAGGATAGTATTATAAGTTAGATGTCTTAGTGGTCTAATTTATATTTAGTAATGTGTTGTTATATGCCATATTGTGCTTCTTCCACTATACACCTTAATGTTTCTTATGATCATAATTTTTTAACCAGGTGTCTGGAATCATGTCACAGCAGCAGAGCATAACAACAGTTAAAAACATGATTGGTTCAACTTCTGCCAAGCAGAACTCACAGCATGAAGGCAGTGGGAGGATTATTAGAAGCATACTTTTAAACAAGGATGGTCGTCAGAGTCAGACTTCTAGTGTCCGTTGCGAGCAACTTGTTCAGTCTTCTAATTTGGAGAAGGACAAACGACCTCCTCGACCCCCTCATGCACAGCTGGTTCTGAAGGACACCAATGGTGCTGTAGAAGATAAGATTGTTGGAAATGACTTGCATGGTGTGCATAATGAGAAGCAGGAAAGACGTGCCAGAAACAAAGATATACCTGATCGTGGTGTATGGACTTTTCGCCATTCTGATGGATCATATGTGAGTGATGAGTCCTTGTCATCCTCAGCATCTCAGTCTCAACAGATAACCTTAGATGGTTCTGAAGGTATGGAAGCTACAATTCAAAATGTTGGTTATTTTTGGTTTGGATTTCTCATACTGAAGGGACTGCAATCTCAATACAAATCTAAAATCATACACATAAAACACATAATTGGGGTATGTACTTGTTTGAATGGCAGTGATCTGGCTCAGCTCATGGCAACTTGCAGTGCAGATGTGTAATTTTTTTGTTGGAGAGATTAGGTTCTAATGTTTATTCTGCATAAATTTGCTCAGGGACTCAGAGTGATATGAAAGTTGATTTGTCAAATGCAAGGGGTGGCCAAGTAAAGACTGTTGGAAGTGGACGTAATAGTTCATTAGACAATGGTTAGGTTTTTTTCCTTTGTTTTTAAAAAGCCTGTGTCTTCTGTTTGGGTGTGGGAGCTGCATTTCACCAATTGTCATGTTCATTGTATATGTAGGCTCCCACAAGCATGTTGGACGTCGTGGACCAGTTTCTGATAGCTCCTCTACACTAAGTGATGGGAAGCCATTGAAACGAGGCAATGCTTCTTATCATGAGGTGGTTATGACTATGTAAAAACATCAGATAGCTCATTAATCTTCTACTGCTTTTTCACTAAAAAGTTGCTTGACTTAATTTGCAGAAACAAGTCTGGGTGCAGAAGTCAAGTTCTGGTTCATAGTGAAGTGGAAGATGGTAAGTCTTTATTATTGTTTTCACTTTTGGAAAGAAAATTATTAAGGGGGAAATATATTATACTTCAGGTGAGTTTGATTGACTAAAATTTTTCTGTGTGCTGGTTGGAGTATCTGTATTAAGAATTATGAAATGGTAAGTGGTCAGTTAGATTGGCATTTTCTGAATCCTTGGAGGTCTAAATGTTCACATGGAAATGTAATTCCTGGAGTGTTAAGCATTTTCAGCAAGTTGGTCCAAACCTACTTTGTTCGCCATTCTAATTCTTGAAATTGGGTCTAAATTCAGTACAAATTTTATTCTTTACCAAGTTATGAACACAGTGTCTGTGTTTAATTGATATTATAAAACTGACAATTAAGCTGACTAAAATATAGTAATATACCTTTTTGTGAGTAGAAGAAATTTCCCTTCTTTGGATTTTGGAAAATGGTTAATATTTCTCTGTTTGCAGTGATTCTCATGATCAAGTGAAAATTTGGAGCATGACTTTTGCTTTAGCCGGAGGCTGTCTTGCCACGCTTTAACTCATGACCCAAGTGTAAACAATGTTTCAGCAGCAAAATAGAGGGAGGCTCTGTTGACTTAAATGAAGCCAGATATCACGTAACTATACTTCTTTGGTTGAAAAAAACCTTTGTGTAGACGGAAACCACTCAGAAATGAAGGGACAAGAAATAAAGAAAGAAAAGGTTATCATTTATATAATTTTATGACACCATAGTTTTCCTTGTGGCGCCCTTGATGGATTTTGCTTGTGGGGGGCAACATGGGAACGCCCTCATTCCTGCCATCAGCCTAGCTGGAGACTGGGATGTCCTGCTTCTATCGGTTTATTTCTTTTAGCTGAAACTGTGAATGTGAAAGGCGAAGCCCTGTCTACTCTCTGCATTCCAGAGTCGTTATATATGTCTTGTTGAGTGATATACAATGTCTTACTGGTGAGCCATTTGTCTATAGCTCCCTAGTATTTTAAGGGCTCTTTAAGAGGGCTTGTCCAGGAGACAGGGAAAGCTGGGACATGTTCTCTTTTCAGCCCCTGTGTTACAGGATGTTTTGAGTGGTAGGCTAGGCGTTGGAGTGATTTGGAGGAATAGCAAGTACATTGATGAATTGAGTGAAAGCTGATATGGATCTTTCGTGGACCATGTTTTGTTATTGCTTTGGGATCCTTGTATACGGTTTATGGTTATCATATAAGATCATGCCATCCGCATCCTCCTTTACTTAAAAAAAAAAAGATTTCAAGAATGTTTGCTTTGCCCTTATTGTCATGCTTGAGCCTTTGTGCCAACTCGAAATTTGTGATGCGTGTCACTAAAAGTCGTGGTTATGGTTATTTTTTACTCTGTTAAAATTATTTAAAATTTGATTGGTACTTTATTTATTTATAATTTATTACTTAAATAGTTAATTATAATATTTTAAAATATTAATTTATAAAATAATTTTAATTTGTAAAATAATGAAAGTTAATTATTAGTTGATTGGTACTTTATTTATTTATAATTTATTACTTAAATAGTTAATTATAATATTTAAAAATATTAATTTATAAAATAATTTTAATTTGTAAAATAATGAAAGTTAATTATTAGTTATTTTTAATGGATAATAATAAATCGATCAAAATTTGGAACCGAAATATTGAATTAAATGGTGTGATTTACATTATGTTATTTAAAATATTAAAGGGTAAATTTCATGCTATTTAATAATTAATTTTTTTTTATTTTTTTGAAACTCATAATATTATATGTATTAATTAATTTAATAACATAACATAGATTATCTCATTTATCTTAAACTTTTGTCACAAATTTTCACCTTCCCTATTATTACTCATTTTTAATAGTTAAATTAAATAAAATTAGGAGTTAGATATAATAAGAATGTCTTAACATTTAAAATGTTAAGATATGTAATTATAATTATTAAATATATAAAATATGAAAAAAAAAGTACATATCAATCTCAATTAAGTTTCAATTTTAAATTATATCATTTTGCTTAATTAAAATTTAATTTAAAATTTAAAAAATTATCTTATTAAATATTAATATATTAAAATATATAATGTGTTTTTAAATTTGGATATCAACATTTAATAGAATAAGATTTTAGTTTTTAAATGCAGATCGAAACTCTAATTATTTTTAAAAATCAAGATTGATACCTATTAATCTCATAAAATATAATATAAAAATTATTAAATTTATAATGTGATTAAATCATAATTTTTTTTTACAGGAACAATAGTTAGAAATTAAAAGTTAGAAGTTAGTACCTTATTTTATGGTAAGATTCAACCACTTATCAAGGTGCAATCCATCGACAATTCTGTTGGATTGCAATAACTACCATAATTATTAATTATGAGTCACATGCTGTGAACTTTAATTTTATCACATTTATAATAGGGTTATTATTATACTTGCCGTTATTTTTCTGATTTTTTCTTTTCCTCAATTATAATAACTTAATATTTTTAATAATGAATATTATCTCTTGCTACGGTAAGGAAGAAAAAATTGTTTTTTTTTTTTAAAGGATCATAAAAGGGTATATTTAAAAAAATTATCGCAAGTCTGGATATGCGGGGGAAAGTGGGTAGTGACGTGGCTGGTTTCTTTAGCAGAGAAGCAGTGCGCCACGGTGAAGACTGAACTCAAAAAAAATCTTCACCCAAAAGCTCTTCTTCCTGCTCCCTTCTTTCTTGTTCCTACAAATTGTTTTCAGGACTTATTCTTTTTTCCTTTGGTTTCGATGGCATTGGGTCTTCATCACGGCGGCCTTTTCTTTCCCAAATTTCAATCCTTACCCAGTAGAAGTAAAACTGTTTTGGCGCGCAGTTCCAACAGCCATGAGTCTTCTCCTTCCTCTTCCAATGGCTCTCTTCCCCTGAAACAGAAGAAAACTTTCCCAGGTTCTGTCCCTCTCTTTCTCTTTTCTTTTAATCTTTTCCCCTTGTTACCTTTTCTAAATTTTTTAACTTTGAAATGGGTTTTTGTCTTCATAATTCATATGCCTGAATTGTTGATATTCACCCTTGTTACATTCTCCTTGACCTAGATTCCTTTTGGTGGAAGATAATTTTTTTTTTTTTTTATAAGGTGAGGTTGAATCATGATTTGCAGGGAAGCCAGAGGCTGATATTGTTGTGATTGGGAGTGGTATTGGGGGGCTTTGCTGTGCAGGACTTCTAGCTAGATACCAGCAGGATGTCCTTGTGCTGGAAAGTCATGATCAACCCGGGGGAGCTGCTCATTCTTTTGAGATTAAAGGCTACAAATTTGATTCTGGGCCATCGTTGTTCTCTGGTTTCCAATCAAGAGGTCCTCAAGCAAATCCCCTTGCTCAGGTATTACTGCTTTGTGTGCTTTTCTTATTAGCATTGTGTTTTGCTTGTCACAGGTTTGAATTTGATTTTAAGTTGCCTATGACTCCATGTTGTCAGTCTTGGTTCAATTGATTCTTGGTTTTACTTATTTTCTTGTGGCTTACAGGTTCTAGATGCCTTAGGGGAGTCAGTTCCATGTGCAAATTATGACTCCTGGATGGTCTATTTACCTGAAGGTGAATTCCTTTCAAGAATTGGCCCAACTGAATTTTACAAGGTGAAAATTTTGTGCTTGATTTTAAAAATTTTATCCATCTAACTTGTCTCAAATAAGTAGATCTGGAAAATTTAGTGTCTAAAATGAGTTAACAGATTGATTATTGTTGTTAGGGTTTTTCTAACCCTACACTTAATGCACAAGTTTAAGGATACATCAATTGCACATTTTCTACATTAAATTGTATAAAAAAAATGTTAATTTAATTTCAACACCAATGCCACATGAATGTTCTTAATTAGGTGGCTGATAGCATTAAAGTTGGCTTTTATATTTTCATGAAAATTTATAAGAAAAAGGTGTAATTAATGCACATTTAAAGGTTAGAAAAACCCTTATTGTTATGGCTTAGATATGAGACGGGAAGATTGGGATGTGTACATGTGGAATGTATGGAGATTCTAAAATAAGAAATTGGAAGGAATATACATAGTATATACACTAGGGTGAAATTTTTGGTGAATTTCTAATTGAATATTAGTTTAATTTGTCTATTATCTTTCAGGACCTAGAGAAGTATGCAAGCCAGAATGCTGTGCAGGAATGGAAAAAACTACTTGTGAGTACCAGATATTAGACTTGCAACTGTCTGTCTTTAAGATTTACATCCAAGGCTAACTGTTGTTTCTATGGCTTCTGGTTCAAAGAACCGACACCAAGCCAGAAGTTTGACATACCATTATTAATCCTCTTTCTGCTAAAGTGCATCTCATTAAAACGAAGAACAAGTCCTTTTGTCAAACTATAACAGTATAACTCTTTAAGCACCTGGCCTTGTTGGCCCGTTGGCAATAAGCCATGTTGTAGGTGCACCCCCCAGCCCAAGGGCTGGGTTTCGAATCCCCCACCCCCAAAGTTGTAACTGTTCAAAAAAAATACTATAACTCTTTAAAGGACTTCCTCCAATCTTGATTACTGATAAGTGATAACTGATCAGAAATTTGGGTTGTAGCCTTAGGATCTTCGTAGATATTTGACTATAATTTGCAGGTTATATGCAGTTTCTTGCTTTAAACAAAAACCTGATCAAATGTTGTTGCAGGATGCAATACTTCCATTATCTGCTGCTGCAATGGCTCTACCTCCTTTATCTATAAGAGGAGATCTGGGTGTTCTTTCTACTGTTGCTGCTCGATATGCCCCCTCTCTACTGAAATCCTTTATTGAAATGGGACCCCAGGGAGCTCTTGGTGCTACGAAGCTTCTGCGTCCCTTCTCAGAAATTGTAGACTCATTGGAGCTGAAGGACCCTTTTATAAGGAATTGGGTGGATCTTCTGGCTTTCCTTCTTGCAGGGGTGAAATCTAATGGTATACTTTCAGCAGAGATGGTAACTATAAGATATCAACTTAAATTTAATATGGCTTTTATTGCTGTCCTACTAAATCTGCATTTTACAAGAGAAGATACCTTTTATGTTCATACTTTCTGCAAAAATAGTATGGCACCTATGAGTGTGCTTAGAATCTAACTTGAGATTTGCAATCCAATTTTTCAGATTTATATGTTTGCTGAATGGTACAAGCCAGGATGCAGTCTGGAATATCCCCTTCATGGAAGTGGGGCCATTGTTGATGCCCTTGTCCGAGGAATACAGAAGTTTGGAGGACAAGTTTCTCTATCAAGTCATGTGGAAAAGATTGTTGTTGAAAGTGGCAGAGCCACTGGGGTCATGCTAAGAGGTGGTCAAGTGAGTACATATATAGAGTTAAAAATGAAATTCACTTCCATCAAGTATACTTCCCACAAGTGTTATTGACTGAAGAATGCTGCAGTTCATACGAGCAAAAAAGGCTGTTGTAAGCAATGCATCTATATGGGACACTTTAAACCTCTTACCCAGGGAAGCTGTTCCAAACTCATACATGGAAAGGATCAGCAGGACACCTCAGTGTGAATCATTCATGCATCTTCATTTAGGCTTTGATGCAGAGGTAATAAGTCCTTTGACTTTTGCCCTCGTTTGTTTTATCTTTATGCATCTTGCTGACTGCTTTATAATGTGAAAATGCCAGGGCATTCGTGAGGATTTGGGGATTCATCATATTGTTGTGAATGACTGGGAAAGAGGAGTTGATGCTGATCAAAATGTTGTTTTAATTTCCATTCCCAGTGCACTTAGTCCAGATCTAGCACCACCAGGGAAGCATATTTTACATGCCTATACTCCTGGGACTGAACCATTTGAATTGTGGGACGGACTTGATCGTAGAAGTCCTGAGTACAAAAAGCTCAAATCTGAACGATCAGAGGTACTTCTAATATGATTGTTGGCATTCCTTTTCATACACTACCTGTAATGATTTTCACAATAATTCCTTTTCATACACTACCTGTAATGATTTTCACAATAATTCTTCTTCTAGACTCAGTTTGTAGGCCTAGTTCCTTCTGGAAGCATGTCTAATCCTAATGCTTTTCTTGAACCAGGTAATGTGGAGAGCTGTTGAACGCACGCTTGGCCCAGGTTTCAACCGGGACAGGTGTGAGGTGAAGTTGGTGGGAACCCCTCTAACACATAAAAGGTTTCTCAGGAGGAATAGAGGAACTTATGGACCAGCCATACAAGCTGGTAAAGACTCTTTTCTTGGCCATTCAACACCCATTCCACAGCTCTATTGCTGCGGGGATTCTACCTTTCCTGGCATTGGAGTTCCTGCAGTTGCTGCTAGTGGCGCTATTGTTGCTAACTCATTAGTCCCTGTTTCTCAACACTCCCTCCTCCTTGATGCCATCGGAATTTGAACACATATCGGTGAATACACGCCATCTACTCTTGGCCTTTTTATTGGACCGCCCCACCTTTCAAAACTGATCAAATCTACCTCTGTTTTCTTATTGGGACTGTAAATTCATTAATCCAAATGAAGGTGGAGGAACCCTTCAATTGTCCTATATTCTTGAAATGAATACACTATACACATTGAACTACTCAAGAAAAAAATTTTCCCTCTAGAACTCTAAGCATTAAAACAAATATGGGCGGAGAAAGGGAACATGTCATAGGTTCCACAATCTTTGCTTGTGATTATTCGTAGATTCTCCTTGCACTTTCTTTCAAAACTTAACCTTGCTTTTCAATTCAAGGCTTTTGTTTCAATGATAACATAAATTTGATAAAAGTTTATTGATAACTGAGATGCGCGAACGATTTTTGCTTGGAGAGAAACAGAGTTTGTTACATAAACTGGACGTAAATTATGGTATCATTTATCAAAAATGATAAAAGAGAGAAACAGAGTTTGTTT